ACGAATGCCACGAATGCACGTGAATGCAATAGAACGCCATTCATCTGAATCAGATTTCCGGCACTTGAGCGATCTTACACCGTTGAAATCCATTCATTCGAACACCGACTTGTGAAAAATTCATTTTTTCCTCCGTTCCTTTCTCAATTGTTCGTAATTAACGCATACCTGCTATTATTAATAACGACGCTGGAAAATAAACCGATATTTTTGAAGCACGTCGAACGAGAATATTACGCGACAAAGCGGGGAGATCTAATCACGTGGAAAATACAGGTTTCGTGAAACCCAAGTGTCTTAAAATTTCAAGTGTGTATATATATATATATGGTAGGCGGGTAAAGCTGCATTTATATTAGGCAACTGTGATTAAAACGTTCGTCCAAAACGATGATCAGAAATCGTTTCAGCTTGATTTGTCCGACCCAAAAAAATTACCCAATTGCTTTTAGGCGAGAGCGACGAATACGCACGGGGAAGTTAATACAGATGAAAGGTCGGAGGATCGCGGAGTCGAACGGCGTCTACGGTAGCGCATTTCGATTTTACCATCTAAAAATATAATGGGGTGCGGCCGAGGTGTAACTCGTAAGGTCGCGAGTTCGATTCCCTCCGAGGGGGAATACACCGCTATTTCTAGAATCTCCGGACGAGTGTTCGGGTCACGGTGTAAACACCTAGTTTCAGAGCCACGCTCCAGCAGTTTCATTCCGCGTGGTTCTCGCGGGCCTGGCTTGCCATTTGTCGCGACGCAAACAAACGGACGTGTGCCTTCGTGGGAGAACGAGAGGAGAAAGAAACCGAGGGTGGGGGAGGGATGGGGTGGAACAAGGGAACGAAAAGTGAAGGAGGCAGAGCGATACTGCGTGCGAGGGTTTGTTGCTTTTGTGAAAGAGCCAGGCACAACAGGGCCGAAGCAGGCACAGCCAGGATGGGGTGGATCGTTAAGAGGACGAACACGAGGGGCTGCCAGAACTTTACGGGTTGTAGAAGCGCAACGGCATCGTCGCAACGAGAATTAGTTTCGGATTAACCGAGAATGGGGCTTCGAGGCGATTATTGGAGATTTGCCGGTAGGAGCGCGGGACAAGTTCCTCGGATATTCTACGATATTTTATTCGGAAGTTTTCTTACTGGAAGGCGAGCTCGAGGAAAGAAAGAAAAAAAAAAAAAAAAAGAGGAACTTCAATTTTTGAGTTCTCCTCGTCGTCGTGTCGAGGGGTGAAAAAAGACGAAGGGGGAGGGGGGGAGGGCGAAAGAAAACGCTGCGTTAGCCACTCTTGGCTCGATCGAGTGTCGGAAAGGGAAGGAGAAACGTTATCACGCGATGGAAATCGGGTGTGCAGCATTGTGTCGATAACGCGACGGTATTACAGCGACGTTTTTCGGGATCGCTAAATAAAGCTACATTGGAACGGTTGCGACGCAGCTGCCGCCCAAGTACAATGGTACCCCTGTGCTCCGTTGCTCCGAGGCGAGCTCGAGAGGCATCGTAACGTCGAGACGTGAGTTTTTTCAGCCTAGTAAAGACGATCGTAAAGCGAGCGCGACCACGTGTTCGAAAAGTGGGTCACACTCGAGCTGAGTGATCAAAGAAGCTGACGAACGAATTTCCATCGACTATCGCGAGAATAGAAACACCGTACAACACTCGTCTGGTGTTGTCGCCGGGTTAATCGGCGCGATTCGCAAAAGTTTTCCTTCTGTTTCGTTTCGTTTCGAAAGTAGATCGTTCTCGCACGGTCGAGTTTCACGATTTCGCCGATAAACGCAGCGGGAAGGAGCCGCGCGAAGGACCAGCCGCTCGAGGGTGACTAATCTAACGCGGCACGCTATTGTACGTACGAGGATGATTCAATAAATAATCTACCATGTATTGAAATTTTTCTTTTATACCGTCTGTAATCTTGAGTGCTTATGCATCAGCATTTCTCGATTCTTATTTGTCATAATTGCACGGTTTTTAACAAAACAAACTTGATCTTTTTTCTTTTTGTGGTTATCGTGATAGTGAACCACAATAGTCGAACCACTTTACGTTCGTATCGAAAAGAGTTGCACAAGTTGGTATTCGGGTTTTACAATCTGAAGAGGTACGAAAGGCTGAAATCTGTTGGAAACTTTCAGTACAGTACCAGGACAGTGTTCTTCCTCGATACAGCGTGCGTATATGGGACCGATAAGTTCAAAATTGATCCCGAAGGAATTAAAGGAAGCGACGCGTGCATATATTGAAAAGTAATGTGCCTGACATCTCTATTTTTCACCCCTTGCGCTGGCAACTTGGTTCGCGGACCATAACGAGTGACCGTACGTACATACCATACTCGTCGGTATGATATCATCTGGACAGAAATTATTAAGAAGTAACAAACTTATCACTTGTTTTGCCACCATTGTCTCCCTTTACAGTTAAATTATACTTAAAACTGAGAAAATGTTGCAATTTGGGGCAGAAAATTGTCAACGTGCGTGGCACGTCATTCCAGCGCAAGCGGTTAATAAATTTTATAATTAACGGACTCGGTGGTGCTCGTAATTAAAACGCGACGCGACGAAACTCCGCACAGATTCGCGGCCGTTCGCTTCGAGAATTCGCGCGAGTTATATTTATCTCGTCGTTGCGGGGAAGTTTCTCCGCGGCTCGAAAACACGGTATATACGCCGACGCCGACGAGCAACGCGCAAAAGGACGACCGACAAAGAAGGAAGAGGAGTTTCCCCGTGCGTCAACGTGCTCGGCTCGGATGTTGGGCCGATCGTCGTTCTCCAAAGAGAAACGAAAACGAAACGAATTCTATCTGCCTCTCTCTCCGTTTCTTCCTCTCCATTCTGATCGTGTCGCGTCTGAGAAATCCGTTTCCACGATCGATCACGATAGAAACGGAACGCGAGAGCACTACCAATTTTCGTGGTGTGGCCGAAATGATCGGTCGAAAGGAGCTTATCCGGCCGCAGGTAGGCAACCGGTCTCCCTCGCGGCGAACGTCCGAACAAGTAAGTTGAATACCGTGCGCAGAAAAGGACGCTCTTTTTTTCGATCCAAGGATCGAGATTCTCGGTCCCTGCTTCTTTTTAAAAGACGTTTCGAATCTTATCGAAAGGGAGGGATGGAGAAAAAGAGAGAGAGAAAGAGAGAGTCGAAACGTGGCACGGAACGTTGCGCGCTTTGAATAGACCGTCTCGCGAGGATCTCGAGTTTCAATGGCCGTGCCATGTCCGATTTCGTGACACCCAAAAGACGTGGAAGAAGAATACAGAAGAGCCAGGCAGCCGTTCGAAGCATAAAGGGACCACGATTTTCATCTGAGGGTGTGTGTGTGGGAGCAACTCTGGTGATCCTACCACCGCTCTCCCAGGACTGGGAAAATCTTGTTTACGTTTCTACGCACAAGCGTTTCTCCACGAACAAGGACGAACCGGGACGAAGAGTCTCATCGAAACGAAACGTCGATTCCAAGGGTTAACAGTGACGATCTCGGAGCGAGCGCGTTGCTGGATAAAACGGCCCTGAATGCGGAATGCAAAGCTCGCGGTTGCTCCACTCGTAAATTACGGCCGCGTACGTTTTTTTTTTTTTCCCCCTTCCGATGAGATTATAAGGATCGGGAGAGGTCCAAACGCGAGAGAGAAACGCGACGCGTTGATCGTGCTCTGGCCGCGAATGAAAAATCGAAACGCCGAGGCGATTGGGAAAGGTCATGCGCGTGCCTTTCGATTCGATGGTTCGTCGGTGCGGTTTCGAATCGATCCGGCCGCCGCTCATCGTTACGAACCGAGCGCGGTCGCTGTCGTCGTTGCGACAGCGTTCGACGGCGAAATCGGTGAACGCCGGTAAAGGGGAAAAGACAGATGGAGGACGAAAGGGGGAATGAATATGGGAGCGCGGAGACGAGCGCCGTAGGGAAGAAGGAAGGTGGAGCTGCGCGGCGGCCGGAGGGAAACGGCGGGAAACGGGAGAGAATCGGAGGGAATCGGAGGGAATTGGAGGGCGTTCACGATAATCCAGTCGATCCTCTCTTCGAATTCTCCGTTACGAATAATAAACTCGCCGACAAAGTGGCCGACTATCCCGGCAGTCGGCCGAGGATCGGGCATAGACGCCTTCCACGAACCGCTTTTTTCCGTTTCGACCTTCCACGCCGTAAAAGGAGAGCCGAGCTCTCGAGGAAGGACGACCGCGCGCGAAAGGTTTACGCGCCTCTACGTCGCTAACCCGCATAGACCGTGTTCGCTTTTAGTCCTTTCCTTTTTTTTTTTTTTTCGATAAAACAGTCTTTCTTTCCCAGACATCTAACAATCAACATTAACGCTCGCGATGTACAACGGATCCACGAACAACGCGGGCTTGGATAACGTCGAGTCGATTACACGCGGATATTTTCTTCTTCTGAGTCAACGTTGCAGGAGTTTTCGCGAAGGAACATTGGTAACTTTGTGATAAACTAGAGATAGTTAATATTTCCTTTCCTCTAACGTGCTAAATAAAGCTTTTATTACGTTTTCAGAGTATCAAAATTTATACGCAGATTTTCGACTATATATAGGGGACGTTTGTGTCCGACTAACTCATGTATTGTTCGAAAGTCAACTGTGTATTGCTGGTAATCTGACTCGGTAATCGTGTCAATTTTCTACGCGATATTTTATTTGCTACTGCCAAATCGACTCTCGTTCACCCTTTCGACACGGGCCATCGATCAAAACTCTCTTCGCCCTTCTATATATACTACTGTTCCTTCGTGTTCTTCTTCGAGCACTACTCGCGATGGCTAGTCGGCTATCCGACTGGAAATTTTCCTATCAGCCAAACCTTCTTACTTTCTGTCTCGCCCTTCGAGACTCTCGGCTTACCGGTTTTCCAGTCGAACGATCGCGCGGCCATTTTACGCATCCGCTAAAAGTCATCAGGCTTTCCAAACGACGCCCTCGGACTTGGCCACTTTCGCAAGAGAATACTAATATCGTCGTAAAGACTAACTAAATATGCGTGTACGTACAGTCACGAGCAGCAGAGTTCAACGTTGTCGAAGAAATAGGCTTCCGTTTCATGAACGAGCGTGCACCCGCTGCGGGAGATCCCGTGCATACAGCTCTACCCAGCAATCATTCCTTCTTTCTTCTATACATATAAATATATATACGGGGTGATTTGTAAATGCATGTCCATACATTTGGGTGATAAGTTTACATAGTGTACTAAAAACTCATTCTACGTACCTTAGTTTTCGAGTTGTATCTGGACGATTGGAGAATTTGTTGCAATTTTCGTCGTTTCAGATGTTTACAATTCTTTAAAACACGTCGAACATTCCTAACATTTGTCGTAATCCCGGCTTTCTTTGCAACTTGTCTCGCAATCAAGCTTGAATTTGACGTTATATCACGTATATTGTGGCACGTTTATCCCGAGTTAGCTTTTCTTTTTTTTATAATTATCGGAATCTTTTAGTAAATTTGTTATCACTTTTAGCTATTTTCTTCAATGTTCTTCAATTTCAATATCGTGTGTATTTCAGGTGGACTTAACTTTTACCCGCGACCCATTTTTACAAATTTATTACGTTAATACGCATTCAACTCGCTATATTTCACACGAGTGCTACGCTTTCGATAGCTTCTGTACGACTGACGAGTGTAAATATTCGATTTGCCTTAACTTGCTCGGCTCGCAACTGTGGACAATATTTATATTTCGTTTGTATCTTTCTGGGAAATTGCGCGTTGTCTCGGTATACATCTCAGTGACATTCGACATATTACACATCATATATCCACGCCCAATATTCCAAGGATTACTAATGTAATAATCTACGCAGTCTCTTTACTTTACGATACATAATATAAAAAAATATAGTGTATTACATATCTTTTTGTTCCGAGGTTTGTATACTGTATACGGGGATTCATGCAGAGAACCATTCGCGCTCTCTTCCCTGTCTCTCTCGCGTCCGGTTCTCTAAAGGGGATAAGTACGTACACATACCTATTTCTTTAGCCTGCCCTATTTTTACGTGTCGACGAAATTTCGATTCGAAACTCTCCAATTTCCACACTCTCACAATTCAATTTATCACGCGTTTATCAAAAATGTTGATCGATCGAGCGTGCAAAATCATTGCTACTTATGCTGCGTCTTCTGCAGAAACGCAAAATGAAACGAAAAAAAAAAAAAGAAAAAAAAACGAGGTACATGGTCGGCTACACGGCTACGCGTGAATATTCTCCGACGCATGGGTATTTCCGCTTACTGTTCGTTTCGAATCTTGCGTCGTGTCGCGTCCAAATTCGAATACTGCTTGGCAAGCTCGCGGGAAAAGATTTTTCATTGCCCGTGTTCGTCGTCGCGTTTCAATTTCTTCCAACCGAGTGTTTCGTACGAGAATTTAGCCGGCAAACGACGAATACGACGATAAACAACGCTCGTTACGAGTAATCGACGGGAATGCTCGCGCGCAATCTTCGAAAAAAAAGATCACGAACGCGAAGAAGGCTCGTTTCAGCTCGTGTCTTCCGTTCGTGGAAACCGAAGGCGTCTAATCTTGGACGCGACGATGATGAATCGAGCGTACGGACCAAGGGCAATGCAAAATCTCACAGATCTGCGCGTAATTTGTACGTAAATATATAGGCTGTCGACGATGAAACAATCAACAACTACCAAAAAGATCTGTCTGCGTTCGATATATTATCGGTTACTTATTATATATATATATATATATATATATATATATATATTTATAATAAGTGTATAAGTATATAATATATAATAACATATAATAGTATACTAATAAGCATATAAGTGTATATATATATATATACTTATATACTTATTTAACAATACTGATGTGTATTAACGATAAATACGTTACAATATATTTTCGGAATTTCAGATTTCGTAGTAATCTAATTAGTCGAATGGATTAAAAAAAGAAGAAAAATGAGGAATCACAACGGAAGAACGAAGGGTTCCGAGTACTCGCGGGAAATGCAATTAGAGCAGAACCGGTCGACCTGCCACGAGCAACTTCTAGGGGAGAGAAGAACGTTTCTGAGTGTGCGTTACAGCGTCTGGTTTCCGTTCGGCTTCTTCTTTCATTCTGCTGCAGCTGTTCGACGATAGCCAAAACTCGTGACGTTCGTGGAACCTACGAAGAAAAGACGAAATGCGTCAGTTCGGTGTTGTCAAAGACGTCGATGCACGAACATTTGGCGGAAACTCTCCGTTGAGTTTCCGATTTTCTCGCGAATAACCGCGAATATCTGACTCGTACCTTTTGACGTTAATAACGCCAAAACGCGCGTGATAATGAGAAAACGAATGCGTTTTTCACGAATGACCCCGAGTCACTTTTCGAACGAAAACTGAGCAGGCTCGTAGCTAGCGCCCTCCGATACACGGACGGTAAACTAACTTGCTTGAAACTTGTTGTCCAACGACTTTGTTATCGACTCTCGCTACAACGAGAGTTTCGTGAAAATAATTTTTAATGACAATTTACGTTTCAGGGCAAGGAAATTGCAGATAAACCGCAAAACGCGACACCGCGTTTGTTTGCATGATTTCGACGATGGTATCGCCGAGTGAGTGTTTATCACGGTGCTGCTCGCGCTTGCGGGCGACGCGACGCGACGTGCGAGATCGAAGCCCGCGAACGTAAAGAGAAACGAACGTGCTGCCTTGCGTGTTGTTCGGGCCAACGAACAACGATGGCCTCGGTTTCAGGGTCGTTTCGGCTATTATTCGCTTGCACCGACTTACCTCGCCTTCATGTTCGCATCGTTCCCCTCTACCTACTCTTTCGCCAGATCCTGACTCGCACTGTCTCTCCGCCGTCTCCTAACTAGCCATGCATCCTTTCGCCTAGCCTCGACTCGTCTCGTCACGACTCGTCTCATCTTGCCACGCTACACCTCGGTGTTCCATCTCGCATCGTTCCAACTCCTTCTGCTCACGTCGTATCCCGTTGTTTTCCGATTGCTCTCACTTCTCCTTCGATTTGAAACGAACGCCATGTTGCGCGTATCCCGGAAATGCTTGCGTGACGTTCCCGTCAAACGTTCGGGCGCATGCGCGTGACGCAATTCCTGTATTTAAAAAATACGATCTTGAAAAGCAATTCCCTCGCCGCGTTTTATACTCGAGTGAGAAACGTTGCGAGATAATCGCGAATTAAATGCGTCGACGAGGCTTATTTATCAAGCCCATGTTTTGAATTCCAAAAACATACAACGATGCGCGTTGAGTGTCACGATTGTACGAGACCTGACCATTCAATGCTTTTTCGTGCCTCGACGCGTGATAATGGTTTGAATCAGAAATCAGTCTCTCGATGAAATTTTTATGCACAATTTAGTTGGAAGTTGGTATCAGAATAAATTACATCTTATGCTACATATTAATCAATTTCGTGAACACTATATCTACCCTATCCCCAAGCACCAGTGGAAATCAATGCGGTAATACTCCCCAAAATGAACCTAATCCTAACCCATCAAAAATATCGAACCAAATTTTTTTTTAAACTCGCGCAGATGCTTCCATCGAGTGAATCTTTATACAAGCATTTTATAGGTTAAATGGAATATACGAAGAAAGCTAAGAGTCTAATTTTGAAAATGTCAACGTCAGAAGTTCACAAATTAAACCTTTTAATTACCTTTTCTTGCAAATGAAAATTTTATCATTTTATGGGCACTAAAATACTAGCACCACGTAGCGGTGAAACGATGAAATTAATTTATATTACTGTCCTTCTCACAGACTATTGCGTTCCTTGTCTGATGTATCTATCCTTGTTTCATGCTATTGCGTCCCTTGTCTATCACACAACATATCTCTGTCCTTGTCACACTATGAATGGTGGTGCCATCTATGCACCTCTGAGTTCCAATTAGAACTAAAAGAAGAAAAATGAAAAATCCGATAGATGGCAGTATACCCTCGCAAGCGCGCGTATTTTTAAAAACAAGTTTAACAGCGGAAAATATATTGTAATCTCACAATCAGTTAAAAATCAACCAAAATAAACGGTCGTCATAAAGATCTTGTTAAACATAAGTTAAAATAAATAGTTATTGTTATAGTCCCTAGTTATTATTAAATCTCGTTAAATATATTTATTTAGAGGAGTAAATCTTCATAAAAAAAATGTGAGAAAGCAGACACATGTTGGGTGTTAGATTCTTTTCCAATATGCATACTGCAGCTTATAAATATCATGGTATGAACAAAAGAGATTTCTTGAAACTTTTAATGATTACTACATACATATATCTGGTTCAAGTTATTATCCTGCCCAATTTTGGAACCATCTTTTTAAAAATCTGTTTTTATCCTTAACTACTCTTTAAAAAATAAATGTGCAATTTCAGAAATAAAGTAATAAGACCATAAATATATCATAAATGTATCCACACCACTACTACGGGCGCACTATGTATTTTCTAACTTCATTGAATCTTCCTGATCGATGCTAGTGACATCTATGCGAAAGGAAGAGAGAGAGAGAATCGATTGCTCACGATGAAAACTAGACCAATCGAATACCACCACATGTTCGAGATGTCGAACAAAGCGGCGCGTTGTTTTGTCCGTAGTGTGGAACGGGGAGTGAAGCGAGCTGGCAAAAATTTAGGATTATGTTGCGATCCACTGTCAGTCGAAAGAAACATTTAGTTCGGTATCTCGTGAGAGTACGATGCTGGTGTTACGTGAGAAGTATTACTACATGTTCTACGATGAGAAGCTTGGATACGTAAAAGGTAGAACTGACAGGGAGGATGCGAACATCGCTATGACGGCGAATCGTATAGTCGTGCTTCTCGTCTTCGTGTCGGGAATTGCGGTTGCTGTCATTGGAACGTTATTGTCTCAGTACATTCGTGGTTCTCTGAAACATTTATCAGGTGAGCGTTTCCGATCGTACGGTACTCGTACCACTTTTGCCAAGTAGGTATCACTCTCTTGAGTTACCTAACCTCTTTGACAATTGGGAAAGAAAACCTCCAGCCAGTTGTGTACTATAAATTGTTCTTTCAGATCATGATTATCGTCATGTATTCATACCACTCCCGACGGAAGGTGAGTTGAACGTATACGACGAAGGTACTCTGGATGTTGCACTGCCAAGGTCCCAGCTGCAGCGTCAATTGGAAATTGAGAACAGCGCGACGTCCATTGCGGAGGCTTTAACCTCGTTACACCTGGCGCTGGAGATGAAATTGTCGGGCAAACAGAAGAAAGCGATCAAGTTGTTTCAACACGCTGTAGCTTTAGCGCCCCGTCACCCAGACATCCTGAATCATTACGGCGAGTTTTTGGAGCACACGCAGAACGACGTTATCAAAGCGAACGAGTACTATGTGCGAGCGTTGAGCTTTCAACCGAACCACGAAGGTGCGTTGATAAATAGTCAGAGAACAGCCCGAGTGGTCGAGGAGTTGGATCGAAGAATGCTGCGTCGCATAGACGAGAAACGAAACGCACTGTCCGCGATACCTGATAACAACGCCGCATTGATACGCGCGAAAAAGGAGGCTTACTTTCAACATATATATCACACGGTTGGCATCGAGGGAAACACGATGAATTTGGCTCAAACCAGGGCGATCGTTGAAACCCGTACTGCGGTTGCTGGTAAAAGCATCGACGAGCACAATGAGATCCTTGGCTTAGACGCCGCGATGAAATATATCAACGCGACTCTGGTCAATAGAGTTGGATCAATCTCTATCAAGGACATTTTAGAGATTCACATGCGCGTTCTAGGACACGTGGATCCCGTTCAAGGTGGTCAATTCCGACGTACTCAGGTGTACGTTGGTGGTCACGTACCTCCCGGTCCTGGAGATATTCATTATCTCATGGAAGAATTCGCATTATGGTTAAACAGCGAGAGAGCTATTCGAATGCATCCAGTCAGGTATCTAACTGTTTCCTCATCCTTCTTATTTTCCTTCGTCCTGTGTTATCTGCCCTGGTAATTACTCTTTTCATTCTCCTATTCCAGATATGCAGCTCTAGCGCATTATAAACTGGTGCATATACATCCGTTTTCCGATGGAAATGGTAGAACATCTCGCTTGCTCATGAATATGATCCTTATGCAAGCTGGTTATCCGCCGGTTATTATTCACAAGCAGCATCGGCACACGTATTACGAAAATCTTCAAATAGCCAACACCGGTGACGTTCGGCCGTTCGTTCGGTTCATAGCTGAATGTACTGAACAAACGTTGGATCTATTTTTGTGGGCAACTAGCGAATTCTCTAGACAGGTTCCCGCGCTTAGTCAAGACACTTTGTTCACCGAACGACGCGATACCATCATTCTAGAGGATGATGTGACGACGGATAGCGTTACGAACGCTTTTGACACTGGTTAATAGCTAGTCCGTGAATTTTTTGGATTTCACGTTACGTGTTAACCGTTACGTATTTCCTAAACCAAAGATTTTTACTCGCTAAACCATTTGCCTCTGTTCCGTCTAATAGTGACGCTTCTTATATTTAAATCGTAACTTCCGGTTCGCGAGCCTCCAATTTTTTGCTTAGAATTATCGTCGTATGTATGTCGTCCTTTATCATTTCGATTTGATCCAACAAATCGAACATCCAGCCTGCTTCTATTATTTTGTTGTACACGATCGCACACACATAGCCTTTCGTTAATTAAATTGTTTTCCTTCTTGTGCATGCGTTTAATTTAAAAAATTAATCATGCTAACTGTTATCGACGCGATTCCTTATACGACGTGGTATGCTTCCATTTATAATTTCTGCTACCTTTTATCGTATGCGCCAAAACAGTCGACATAGAGAACACGGCGAACAGTGTGAAACTGAATCAAAGACTGTGATGTAATTTAAGAATACGACATAAGTTAATATTTAATTAGGCGAATTTTAAATGTCAACATCAAACGTATTATGAAAATGTCGCGTATAAATGTATGATCAGATGTGTAATCGCTACTTGCTGGTCAAGTTACTTGCGATATGATTTAAATACACACGCTACTTTTAATAAATCCATTATTTTCTATATCGTTTCGTTCATGTATTCTTTTTTACCATTTTCTATGCGAGAAGATAATCTGTGGGGACGTGTTTGTCGGCAAACGATAAACAAAGTTGCGCCATTTTATCATCGACTAGCTTGAAAGCAATTAGATATTGTTCATTTATCAATCAATTATGGTCGTTCCGTTTGATATGCATATGACAAAGAGAAAAGAAAAAAAGAAAGTGAAAAACTAAGGCAAGACAGCGTATCATTTATATCATTATCTCGGTTCTCTCCTTTGTTCATAGTTTTATCGTTGACAAGCTTTTCACAAGTAATATCACCATTGTAGCCCGATATGTTTTATGGATCGAACAATGCATCGATCGTAACGATGTTGCTCCCATTATCGTATCGGTGTATCCAGAGATTCCAACTTGTGTCGCTATTCGACTTCCCAATACTGCGATTAATAATAATAAGGCCAGAAAAAGTATTGAATGCCTCGACTGCTACGAAACTTTAATTTTTTACACGTCTAATAAAACATTGACGCTTCGTCGGCGAAAGAAACGATACAGAGACAATTCGCATCGTTTTCAAGCGCGTTCGATCGAAACACGTATCACGAGTGAACAAAATCTTTACGCTAAACGTGCAAATCTCTCTCCTTCTTTTTTCATTTCTTTTTTCTTCTTGTTTTTTTTTTTCCTTTTTAATGCAATATAACGATGTACTCCTTTTTTTTTTATCTATATAAATACATTTCTATAAAAATCATATTTAGCCAACAACGTAAGTTGACGACCTATCGATTCTTCGCACATTCGCTCTTCCTTCTTTATCCTCTCGTTCGTTCATTCGCTCGGTTACACACATACATACGCTTCCCCACTCGTGCACATTCATCCTCTCTTCGTTTCTGCTTGCCTGCTATGTCGTGCTCGGCTCCATTGCTCGGTCGGATCGGTAGAGATCGAGATCGATCGCGAGACCCGCCGGACATTGTCGTTTTGGCAAGGAAAAAAAAGACACGCGCGTGCATAGGTATGTGTTTTACGAGGCATGTCTGTGAGAATTCGCTATTCTCCGTTGAGTATGAAGAAAAATGATGGAAACGAAATCAAACGACGGCAAGTAAGAGAAAAAATTGTTGCATCGACTTTAACACTCTCGAGATAAAAAAAAATAAATAAAAAAAAAAGGGGGGGAAAGGGAAAAAAAAGAGTATTCAAAAAAGACCGGTGAAATCATGTGAACTCTAAATCGATGATTTTCTTGGAAATGTGATATGCATTATCGGGATAATCGTTGTAATTCTTAAATAAATTGTAATTCTTTTCATTGAAACAGGGGCTATCACGATCTACCGAAGTTATATAACGTTGAAAATATGTACGCGTTTAACAAACAAACCACAACCCTATTTTGAATGAAATTTACGCCGAACGTACAAACGTACAAACGTACAAATATACACAAGATTCGAATACGCGTATGTAACTTCCTCCTTGTTATTTATTTCAATTATTTGGACGAAAGAAAAAGAGTTCTTTTATAGACATGTTCCTTTTAAAATTCAATCCATCTGAGACTGGACTAAAGGTATGACAATATAAATTGGGCAATCAACGTGAACCTTTATTTGAAAATATCTCGACGAGGAATGAGAATCGAACGTTGAAGAAAGAAGAAAAGATTCGAAAAGATATCCTGTAACCGCGTGTTTTTCATCTCTGGACAAGTTATGCATAGAAGAGACACGCAGGCAATTGTATGGATATACACGTGCGTGCAATTGATTCGTTACGTTGTCGCTTCGTTTACTTTTAACCGTATCTATACGTATACGCGTGTACGTTCGTCGATTTTATAGTCGCTTTATCAGTGACGTCGATATATCCGCGGATTGATCGTTCGACGAACGCAGCAGCTTTCGTTTAGCGACGTTTTGACGCCGTCGAGAAAATTGCTGAGAAGGCAAGGGTTTCTCACGAATGAAATGAAGCGCGCGCTGAGCACTGTCGACCGGACGTACGTCGATACGTGCTACGATTCAGGTGCTGCGTGCACAAGTAGAAGAAACAAGCTAGCGATCGGGAAAGAGGAGAGAGGCAGAAGGGGAAAGCGGAAGGACGAAAAAAAAAAAAAGGAGAAGAAACATGGTTTGCCCCAGGAATATGGACGGACGATGATCGTCTCTGCTACAGTTAACTTCGATATCGCCGCTTCTTTCTCAAAGCATCGTGGAATGCAAGAATTTCCAGCTTTTGATTCATTCGTGATCGATTGACAAGCCAAGAAAATAGGAATATGAAGTTTAGTATCGTTAAAAGCAGGCAAATCGCGTAGCCTGTGATAAAAGGTACGCAAACGTAAATTTGATAAATCTGGTTAATTAACTTATACTAGTATCTTCTTCTTCTTCTTCTTCTTCTTCTTGTTTTTTTTGATTATACCTTCCTCACCCATTGTCGTCCATCACCATTACTACCTCGTACATTTACTCGCTCGCTCGCTCTGTCATTCATTTATTCATTCATTCATTCATTCATTCATTCACCTGCGTTTCTCTCTTTCTTTCTGCCCTTCTCTCTCTCTCTCTCTCTTCCTCCCTTCATCACTCTCTCTTTCTTTCTGACGCGCGCGCGTAAACGAATCCACGTTAATTGTATCGTAAGTTACGAGTTCGCGTCATCTTCTGGCTGATCTGTTCCTCTTGCAACAATTGCCCACGAAACTGACTGACTTGATCGATTGCGGCGTTCAAGATATCGCGCTGCTGCACCAACAGTTGTTCCCACTTTTGGGCATACTCTGCAACAAACAACACGTTTTCAGTGATTGGTTTCGATACTCCCCTTCTTCTTGCGAAATAGCAAACAGGGAGAAGGATCTGGGTGAGTTTGCGAATGAACGTAAAAGCACGGATTTGTACGGTATGGAGTTTGTCGTGACTGGACGCGAGGCGACGATTACGTTTGGAACGATCGACGAACGTACAAAGTGTGCCATAATTTATTATACGCGTTGCAGGTGAAACAAGAAAAAGAGAATTCCACGTAGCTTCGTTAAAAAATTATGACAAAAATGTGAAACGTTTACACTTGTGTATGCACATTGGAGTATTGTCAACCTTTATCGATGAAAAGTTCATATCGATGTGCTACTGATTTATTATTATATCATTATATATACAATTTCGTTGTTTCAACATACACGATGAACATTATATATATCTTATATATATCCCCTATTAAACTAAGAGCGTTAATATTTGTCATAACATTGTAATGAAACATTACAATAACGTGTACGTATAACATGTCGCTACAAAACATTTTAATCTTGTCTTTACCGTAAATTGTGGGACACCTTGTACGTAATCGTTTCAAAGAGATTTCGATTCGACAAAATTCAAAATCGAGTGCGTCAGTGTGTGTTCAAAGCTTGCAAGACGCGAAGTCCACACATAGATCTCGTATTATCGAGCCGAAACGTAATGCATACTTAATTAATCCATTACATTACAGGCTAGAAAGTTAATGCGAAGGAAACAATACCGTTATATTAATATTCCATAAAAGTAATATTTATTAACAGTTCAATCTTTCACTTGTACATGAGGAGGAATTTTCGCGCCAGAGGCTCGATCGTTCGACTATCTGCGCGAATATCTCAGTAGTTGCACACGGTTTCACATTCATCACGGAAGAGGAAAGGCAATATAACAGAAAGAAAAGAAAAAAAAAGAGCAGAGAGAAGAATCAACGCGTAGATCAATATCACGACTTACCATTTCGACGGACAAAAGAAAAAATACACGTTGCTCTCTTTCTCTCTCTCTCTCCCTCTCTCTCTCTCTCTCTCTCTCTCTCTCTCTCTCTCTCTCTCTCTCTCT